ATGTCCTGATGGTTCCATTCGGCAGGCTTGTCAGGCTCAGCGCGGCCTGGAGTGGGCGGCGCCACCCCTGCCTCCTGCGTCTTCTGCTTCTTCTCGGGCGGCTGCGAGAAGAGCTCAGCTGCCCGCGACTTGAGCGCCTCCACCAGCATGGGTGCCAGCTTGCTGGCGTCGGCGACGCCGTCCATCGAGCCCAAGCACTCCACCAACTTGGACTCGCTGAGGTATATCTCGGGCCCCGTGAGATCCACCGCCATCGGAGCCTGAACAGGCTGCGACGATAGCTGGCGTAGCTCTTCGTCGAGGTCTTCAACAGCCTTCTTGCGCTCCTCCAGCGCCTGGATTGCTGAATCCACTTGGCTCTGAGCTGCTGCCAACGCCTTGTCTGCCTCCAGCTTGTGCGCCTCTGCCTTCTGAAGACGCTGACGGGCCTGCTCAGCTCGCCTCGAAAGAGCCGTAAGCTTCGCTGGAAGGGGCTTATTCTCGTATAACTTGCGGCGAGATGCCTCGAGCTGGTCACGAGCCGCCTGTAAAGGCTGAGCGGCCCATGGTAACTTGACCGACTCCAACCACTGCACATGCTTGACCAGGCCGTCAATCTCATCACGTAGCTCTTCTGACACGAGGTCTGATGCTTGCGCTTGCGACTGTTGTCCACCATCATGCGGCGCACGCAAACGCTGGTTCTCGGCCTCCAGAGACTGCAGTCGCTTCTCCAGCTTGGCCAAGGCAGAGGATTCTCCCCCAATGGGAGGGGGCTTGCGCTTGGTGCTGCGGCTCGGGGAGTCGACGGGAACCACACACTTGAAGCTTTGCCCCTTGTGTACCTTACACTTGAAGCACTTCTCATTGCTGCCGTAATTGATGAGAGGGAGACCAGTACGCCGAAAAGTACAGAACTTGCACATCCAATCCGACTTGGCCTCCGGAGCCCACGGGGACGGCGCCATGGCTGCGCCGTGGGTGGTCGATAGGGGCCGCCAGGAAGCCCGTGCGGTACTGGCTGAAAGCTGTCGAGCGTAAACGCTCTGGCACTGCCGCGGTAACAGCGGTGTCCAGTCTTGCCAATGCGGGCTCGGCCCGCCAAAGCATCAGTCTTGAGCCAAAATGGCTACGGAGGAGGAGGAGGAGGAGGAGGAGGAGGAGGAGGAGGAGTCGCAGCCGGCAGTCTGCGAGTCTCTCTTCTGAGGAAGCCAGCCGCAGGCGCCCAATTGTTACAGATTCTACGACGAGCTCGCCGCAGGCGCCGACGCTTTCGTGGAAGCAATGCGGGTGGGCCGCGGGGTTGGTCGCGGGGTGGGGTCGCGGGGTGGGGTCACGGGTGGGTCGCGGAAGGGCCGCCCTCGCGAGAATAAGACGAAGCCAGGACGAGGACGACAAGGACGACGAAGAAGACGACGACGACAAGGACGACGAAGAAGAAGAAGAAGACGACGACGATGACGACGCCTGAGAGGGGGAACGAAAATTCGCCTCGGACGTGTACGACCCTTATAACAATTTCTATACGAATGGCAATCGTTTTGAGGCTGTCATGCAGGGGGGTATATGATCCCCTCGGCGGCGCCAGCGATGACCCCCTGGCGCGCGTGATCTAAAAAAAGGTTCGCGCCCCGCGGGGTCTATTCATCAGCCCCGGGGGGTAATCACAAGCTGGCATGGGCGGTATCGATAGTCTTCCCTCTTCTGACAATCGCATTCCCCACTCTACCCCTCCAGCCTGCTGCGTCTTCTTCTTCTTCTTCGTCTTCGTCGTCTTCGTCGTTTTCGTCGTCATCGTATTCCTCTTCTTTTTCCCCTCCACGGGTCGCGCCCGTTGGGAGGCCTCGCGCTGACTGCCCCCTCCTCGCCCTGGGGGCTCGCGCAGGGAAGCAGCTGCGACTGGCGGCCTCCATGGTGCGTGACGACGGCGGGAAACCGAGAGAGGCGGAGACCGGACGCCTGGATAGGGAGAACCCAAGAGAAGACCTCCAACGCATGGACAAGATCAAGACGGACGCTTTCTGCCGTTTTCGGGTCCGTCCGCGGGCCCCGGGACCGTCATTAAGACGAAACGAAAACGAGGATGAAATCGGGTACGGGTAAGCCGAGAATCTCTGAGATCCGGCGGATCTGGGTGATGTCTCGGGCGCCGCGGCCTTCTCAGAGCGTTCTGGAATGCTCTCAGAGCGTTCCTGAACGCTCCGGAACGGATTTGTCCTCGTCCTGGCACCGTTTGAGTAAAACAACTACTCAGGTTGAAAAGCTGGCCCCAAGGAAAGGGTCAGAACTCCTGGGGGCCCCACAGGGACAGTACCCAGGCCTCGGCTCTCTGGGAGCGGCTTTGCTCCATCGCGCCCGCCAAAGTCGTGGGCGCGCAAACATGGATTAGCGATCGATAGATTTGGCGCGCGGTCACCAAATCCATGGATCGGGGGAAGTGCACTCCCCAAAATGCGGCCGGTACTGCCTCGCTCGTCGGCGGAAATGCGACTTCCCTTGGAAATAGGGCCCGATGCTAATCCACAGCCCCTTGATCCATGTTTGCGATCGCCTGCCAAAGCTTCATCGGAGCACCGGCCGGGCCCTCAGAGCAGGAACACCCTGAGGCCCAAGTATGCCATGGTGAGGGAGAAGGCCACGGGGATCACTGGCACGATGACCTCGGCTGGCGGGGAGTCCAGTGGGCTGTGCCTCCCCCTCCCCCTCCTGTTCCTCCTCCCTCTTCCTCCTCTCCCTCCTCCTCGCCCTCCTCGTCGTCGTCGTCCTCCTCCTCCTCCTCCCTCTCTCTCCTCCTCCTCCTCCTCCTGCTGCTCCTCCTCCTCCTCCTCCTCCTCCTCCTCCTCCTCCTCCACATCTTCTTCCTCCTCCTCCTCCTCCTACTCCCCCTCCTCCCTCCTCCTCCTCCACCCGTCTCGTCCTTCTCCCTCATCCCCCCGACCACTGATGTTGTTTCAAAGTCGGCCGTACCCTCCTGGCCATCTCCCGGCTTCTCGCCGCCCAGGAGGTACATTGGCAGAGTGATACAAGGCGGCTACCACGAACAGACCGATGTTGCATTTTTTTTTATGGGTGGGGGGCGGGGGCGCGGAGGGTGGTGGCTGCAACCTTCGGTTTGCGATTGGTGTTGGATCGGGTTCGCAAATTATCAATATAATTATCTCGCTGCCTATTTTTCGACCTGACTATTCATATACATATATGCCAATACCACTATTGTGATGCCGCTCGATATCGCTAGATCTCTTTCAATATCACCAGACATCCATCTATCGATTTCCCAATCCGTCACCCAGTATGAACATTAACAGGTCTTGCAAATCGTAGCGAACTCAATACCATGAACATAACCATTGTTACGCTTTATCGGTTCAGCTATACATGCATACCTACACATATATATGTATCGCACTATCGATCCATCGATCACGCTGTCGGCCGATCTCACTGTCACACTATCAGTCGATCTCACAATATATGCACCTAACTAGCCATCGGTCTTGTGCCGTCTGTTTACCGACTGCACTACACCCATCTCTCACCAACATATCGATATCAGCATGAAGGGGGCCGAACGGTCATTCACCGTCCTTGGGCGCGTGGCTTAAGTGGGATTCCACGGGGCGGATTGATGTTGTTGTTGTTGGTGTTGTTGTTGTTGTTGCTGCCATTATTGTAATTGTTGTTGGTGTTGTTGTTTGTTGTCGTCCTCGCCCGCGTTCCGCCCGCGACCCGCCCGCGACCTGCCCGCGACCCACCCGCGACCTTCCCCCGCGACCCGCCCCCTCGCTCTTATCCGCAACCGCGGGGTGTTGCATATGGCCCTGTCGGTCTCGCTGCCTACCGACACCAACAACCGAGCTCCACCTGGGCTTCCGCGGGGGCGGGGTAGCCACCGTGGGGCCTCAAAGCGGTTGGGTGACGAATCGCGTGGTGTTCTCGGGGCCCCCGAACGACCTCACCCGCGGTCCGTCACCACACGGTCTTGGGGCCCTGGAGGCCCGTCGTCCGAGACACCTGCCTGCCACGGGGCAACCGCGGGACAACAGCAAATCGACAGGCATCGGGCCGACCACCCGGTCGGCCGTCCCGGACAACTGCCGGGGCAGCCTGGGCCCCCTGGCCGACATGAGCCGCCCATGGGCAGGATCTGCCTCGCCCTCGCGCAGCTTCGCAGCACCCAGGCGCACGACAGCGAAGCGAAATGAGACGACCACGACGCACGACCACGAGACGAAACGAAATGGACCACGACACGAAACGCGCACGACCACGAAACGACGCACGACCACGAAACGAAATGAAACGACGCACGCACGCACGATACGACCACGAACCGAAATCGAAATCGACTTCCCGGTCGGGGGCCTTCGTCTCATGTCGGTACCCCCCCAAACCTCCAATTCCGCTCCCGAACCCGCGACTCTTGGCAATACGCAACGGACCTCCTCTCCAATCTGATTTTTGTGAATTAAAAGTGCCAAGAGAGATGCGCTCATATGGGCTTCGTTGGGTTCTCGATTCTACGGTCACGGCACCTCGCGAATGCAAGGAAACGTCGCTCCGAGGACGACGACGCAACGGACGATATACGTCTCAATAGTTTACAGAACCGCGATCCACCACATAATGCAGCTCCGAGAGCCGCGAACTCTGGCAACACACAAGATAGATCGTCGCTCTGCTCTCCAGACTATGGTTCTACGTGAACCATGACAGGTCCTACAAGGCAGCCGATGTATGTGAGCTGCAACCGAGCGGTCCTGGAGTCACGAACATTCCTTGAACACTGCATCAATAGCATCGCTTGGCAAGCGCACTCACAAGTCTGACATATTGAGGATCGCTGCTTCCAGAATCAAATGCTATGCTAAACCATAGGTAGTCGGATCCTCGCGTTCATAGCCTGCTTCTCTCCCTCGAGGCTGAGGTCGTGGCGATTGCGATGGTCAAAGCCCTGATCACTCCAGGGTTCACAGGGAATTTGACGTCGTCGTACTCGTCGCTGTCGGAAGAGAGGTCAGTCAAAGTCTTCCGCATCTCTAAGATACGCACGCCCCACAGGAATGGGGCACGACAGCGGGGAACAGAACACAAGGACGCGACTGGAAGGAAGGAATATGGATGTAGGAATTTGGAAAGGACTTGTGACACATCCGCAACTGTAATCTATCAAATCACACTAGAGCTTGAGAGTGATTGCGCCATGACTGAAAGAAGGCAACACATCACCGAAACGTGGGCACCCATGACTGCACAACTCAAAAAAAGAAGGCCGCAGTGAATCTAGAGCCAACTGAGCTGTCCGAAGCCCCACATGACAGTGTGGCTCCTGCAGACGCGCCCCGTGGAAGATATGGATGGGCTCTTGAGGGCTTCAGGCATGGACGTGTCGGGGGCGCCGTGCCACCATTCATCTAGCCAGAACTCGACGCACTAAGAGACGGTAAGGCAATCACATTGTCAAGTGCGTGAAACTCATATGGACGCCGCCAATCATTCAGCTCAATTGTAAACATGCTGCGGCGAACAAGACATCATACACATTCTGACTTGCAACCAGCCGCAACGAACTCAAGAACCAACAGAAAACCAACCATCAACCGTTTGAAATTGAATGTGTCTGATGGAAAACGCTGCCCCACTTGAACCTCTGGCGACCGTGCCGCCTCTCTTCCGTTCAGGCCCGTCTGCTCCATTGCACCTCCTCTCCCCAAGACTCCCGCCCCAATACCCGCCTTCCGATTTTGCTGCCCCCGACAACCTGGACAGCTGGCGAGAGCCAATTGGATCATGTTGTCTATCGAGGAGATGTACGACAAGGCGAACGAGTTCATGAGCACGTCAACGATCGTCGTAGATGTGCATAAAAAGAGAGCGCCAATGAACAGCTGGGCCCACGGCTGATCGGTCACCCCAAGGGCCAGGAGGGCACAGCAGCGTCCAAAGGACCACCCTCCCCATCAGAGCGCAGGGGCACAACTGCGAGCAGACACGCGCACATGGAGCCCTGAGTGAAGAAGAGCGAAGCCACTTCCTTTAGGTCGGGCCTTTCCCCCTACAAGCGGATCTTGGACGAAAAATGCAAACAATCCAACAGTATATCAAACATGGTCAAACATACGGAAAAATCATCCCCATATTTTTCCATGTTTTAACAACTTGTTTTGAATCTCCCTCCTGTAGAGGGACAGGCCCGCCTTACACTTCCTCCAGCCTGGCCGAGATTTTTTCCTGGCCGGGGCCCCGCAAGGAACAGCCACCCTGCCGCTCCCCCTCCGAGCCACGGGCGCCCCTCGCTCTCCAGCGCCGCAGCCCCCAGGCCCGCCCCGACACGGACCGCCCTGCTCCCGCTCGCAAGCCTGGAAGGCACCGACAGGGGGGGGGGGACGGGCATGAGGAGGGGGGAAGCATCGGTCTGGGAGTCGCTGATACATCGCCGATAGATCGGCAATGGGCCCCCGATAGTGACGCCGCACCTTCCTGGGCGGGTTGGGGCCATCAGGCCCCTATCGGCGATCCACGGGCGATGGGGGGTCGATGCCTCCCCCCCTGTGCCTGTCGCCCCCTATCGTTGCCCCCGAAAGCCGCGGCCGCACACGGCAAGGACGCCCGAGGGGCCGCGGCGCGCACAGAGCCCCCGCGAGGGCAGCGGGCGGCACCGAGCAGGCCGGACGGGAGGGGGTCTCCGGGTCGGCACAGGTTTAGGTCGGGCGTGTCCCCCTACAGGCCGATTTTCGACGATTTTTCTTAACAAATAAATAAATAAAAATAACACATACAAAACGCCCAAAACATTGAACACATTGTCAAAAAATCATACCCATACTATTTATTTACACTATGTTTGAATATTCTTCCTGTAGAGGGGCACGGCCCGATTTCAGATTCGAGGGGGCCCAGACCCAAGGGGCCGCAAAAGGCGCACAGCCACCGCCGTGATCTTGAAATGTGTTCGAGGTCTGGGTTTGGGACCCCGAAAGCCGCGCATCTAACGAAGCCTCCCAGACGGGGTCCGAGCAGGTGGGCTCGGAGGACCGCGCCGCACCGCCGATGCGTAGGCGACGCCGGCGATGCATCGGCGACGCTGGCGTGGAGAACAGCAGCCTCCACATCGAGCGGCATCGGCGATGCATCGGCGATGCGGGGCGATCCTCCGACCCCACGTGCTCGGACCTCATCTGCAGGAGATCCCAGAATCGAATCGAACAATCGGATCGGCGATCGAAATTAATCGGATCGGCAGAACTCGGCAGCCGAGTCGGGAGAAGTCGAATTGGCGGAACTTGGCAAGCTAGTGGGACTCCGTCGAGAAATCGAAGCCAAGTCGGAGTCCGAAGTCGGATCGAATCGGAGTCGGAAGTCATCGAAACCGAGCCGACCAGAACAGGGGGAATCCACACGAGCCCTGAAGCATCAGAGGTCGCTCTGGCGAAGAGTCGCCCCTCGAGTGCAGCCGAGTCATGCTCGGCTGATCCCGCCCCCCCCCCGCCCACCCCTGGCCATCGCTCGGACGCCCATTCCACGTGCAATCTTCGATTTCGTGCAAGTTTTTCTCGCAAGATGATCCAATATCCTCCTCGATTGAGCAGGGACAGACGGCCCCGGCATTCCTATAGGTCTACTACGATTTTTTTTTCGACACCAGAATTTTTCTAATAACAAAAAGCCGTGTTCTTAGAACGGAACCCCGATGTGTTAAAACAAGACAGTCCCAACCAGACATGTTCTCAGAACATTTCGTGCAGACCACAAATGAATTCTTAAAGCTTTCGTTGGTGGGCCTATAGGCAAGTTAGGGTTAGGTCGGGCATGTCCCCCTACAGGCGGATTTTTTGACGAAGTAAATGATCAACAACTATTCAAAAGTTGTCAAACATGTTCAAACATCGTCCCCATACTGTTTGTGGATTATTTTTGAATTTTCCCCCTGTAGAGGGACAGGCCCGACTGAAAGCCAGGGCGCTTCGCCACTGCTCGACTCGATGGTCCCGTCCGAGCGATGCCAGGCACCCAGCTCTGGCCCTCGAGGCGCACCCTCGGCCGTGGGGCTGCGCCAGGGGGATCACGAAGGCGTCCACGACGAAGATGAACCTGGGCAAGCCCCCCCCCCCGCGGGGCGCAGCAGGGCATGCCAAAACCTGGCCATCGCTCGGACGTCCATTCCCCGTGACTTTTTTTCGGTCTCGTGCTTTTATTTTTCCACGACTGATCCAGTATGCTCCTCGATGGCCCTCGCCGAGGAAAACATGCACACCTCCGAGCGATGCCTAGCTACTATGTGTCCCTATTGGAGTTGTGCGTCCGACCAGAACATCGAACACAGCAGTCTTGTAGTGTATCCTGTCCCGAGCGGTGTGGCCAGGAAGCGCCCGTCTCCGAACATATGCTACAAGATTTTTCAGCGCGCGCGTCGCCCCCAGTGCCGACGTACACGTAGTATCAGTATGTTCAAATGATACCGACCCCAGACCCCCAACGGATTGAAAACATCAAAGCGGAGGCCTTTCGCTGCTTTCGGCATCTCCGGGCCCTTGCCGGGCCCTGGGGCAAGCAAAAACCGACTCGAGATGAAAGCTGGCTCCGGGGTACATGTCGGGAATTCTGGGGACCCCATGTGGAACACCAACAAAACTCTGGACGCCCGAAATGGGTACGGAAAAAGTGGCACAATGCCCAACAACAGATGTCGTCCAAAGCCCTCAGAGGCCGCTGTGCGGCGAGCGGCTCTATATCTTCAGTATACATCGTCCGCGGCGGCGCGGACAGCGAATTCTGTTCAAGATGAACATGAACTGCTGTTGGGCTTATGTTGCTCTCCTCGTACTTTAGGACCACATCCCAGACATAATTTCGAGCACCCCGGAAAGTGTCGAAGGAGTGTTGAAAGAGTGTCGGACGAGTGTCTCCCAGGGTCCGACACGTGAAAACCCTGGAGTTTCGGTACTTTTTTCCTGATGTTTGAAGGGGCCCTGGGACACACAAATAGATAGACACAAGAAGCTGGATTCCCCATAATTCCCATATCTTATGGGTTTTTGCCTTCCCCCCCACTTCCCATATTTTCTCATATTTTCTGGGGATCGTCGATAAATTGAATCTGCGTGTTTCTTCCCCTCCTGAATGGTGCTGGGCATCGTGCCCTGTGCAGGGCCGAAGGGTCAGGCCTGCAGACGCCCAGGAACGGGCCTCCAGAGGTAAAGCCACCCTGCGCGCTGCAAACGCGCGCTCACCGCCCCCCTTGATGCACCCCCTTGGCGCTCCCGTCCTGGTGGTCCTGCAAAGGAGGGCGCTCTCTAACTCCCGGCCCTACTCACATCGTGCCCATCCGTTCCAAATCGTACCCGTTCTTTCCGTACCCACTCTTTCCAAATCGTACCTGTTCTTTCCGTACCCATTCTTCCCGTACCAATTCTTTCCGAATCGTAACCGTTCTTCCCGTACCCATTCTTTCCACGTCGTACTGGTTCTTTCCGTACCCATCCTTTCCAACTCGTACTCATTCTTTCCAAATCGCACCCGCTCTTCCCGTACCCAGTTCGATCGTCCCGACACGCGTCGGATGTCTGGGACCGAACCGCGGTCGGCCCCGGGGATGCGGGCTGCCCGCTCTCGCGGCTGGATCGCGGCGCGCCTGGGAGGGGAGAGAAGCAGCTGCTAGAGGGCTTTCGTTTTGGCTCCCCCCCCTCTTCGCTCTCGGCGGTGAATACGACTGGTCCTGAAACATCCTCCTCCCCACCCTCCTCCTCACTCCTCTTCCTACTCGTTCCTCCTCCTCCTCCTTCCTCCCTCCCTCCCTCCCTCCCTTCTCCTCCTCATCCTCCTCCTCCCTCCTCCTCCTCTTTCTCCTCCTCCTCCTCCTCCTCCTCCCCCTCCTCTTCCGCGGCGGGTGCCGCGGAACAAAAAGAGTTGGTTACCCCCATTGGTGGGACCCCAGTCCTTCAATAAGGCCGCCGACGAAATAATGAGTTACCCCCCCTTTTGGGGGGATTCTAAAGACCTGTCACGAACAGCAGGCTGCTGGATCTCGTACTACCGTCTTGCCAACATCCGGAGACATACGATCGGTTGTGTCAAACTTTTGCTGGGGCACCGTGGCATTCT